GGCGGGAGGGCGAGGAGGCCCCCAGCCAGGCCGAGCGCACCCAGCAGGGCCGGGGTCCGAGCCAGAGCCTGGGACACTCCCTGTGTGGGGCGCAGGGTCGAGGGGCTGAGCCCCGGCTTGGAGCGGTTCCAGTAGATGTAGGGTTGCTTTGGGTCTTTCAGAGGCAAAATGGAAGGCTGTTGCAATCCTTTGTGGGCAAGGACGCCATTTATGGGTGGAGGCTGCCGTGTTTGAACCCTCTGGGTTTCATGCTTGTGGCCTGCTTAAAGCTGCCTGCCCTGGCTAGGGGGGGGGGGTTTTCAGAGGCAAAATGGAAGGCTGTTGCAATCCTTTGTGGGCAAGGACGCCATTTATGGGTGGAGGCTGCCGTGTTTGAACCCTCTGGGTTTCATGCTTGTGGCCTGCTTAAAGCTGCCTGCCCTGGCTCCAGAGGCAGCTCTTAACAGTCGCAGAGTCTGAGCTGCTCCCAGCTTTGCCTTTGGGTCAGGGAGTGTGTTCTCAACAGGGCGGCCGAGGGTTAAGAATAACAGACGGCTGGGCATCAGGCATTAGATCTGCGTGAGAACATTACCGGGTCCCCCTTAAAAGATGGGGGTGGAGGAAAATAGTAGGAATGAGAGTTGTGCTGCTAGGGTCTGCATTGGAGCACGGTGCTAAACTTCCACATGTTCTTGAAAAAGGGGTGAACAGGGACTCATCCAAAGTCTGCAAGGAGTCACAAAGGGAGCTCCCAGACTTGGGTGACTGGCACCACAAGGGCAGATGGAGTTCAGCGTCGAGAAGTGCAAAGTAATGCACATGGAAGAATATCACCCTGACTATAGATACAAAAGAACTGTTCCCACTCTTGGAATCCTTGTGGATAATTCCCTGAAAAGAGCCGTTCAATGTGCAGTCTAAAAACTAAAACCGTAACAAAACATTGGGAATCGTTAGGAAAGGAATCGCTAATAAGACAAAATAGCACGTTGCCTCTATATAAAGTCGTGGGATGCTCCCAGCTGGACTGCTGCATGCAGATCTGTCACCCCACCTAAAGAAAGATCTCCTGGATTTGGAAAAGGTACAGAGAACGCCAACGGAAAGGATTAGGGGGAAGGAACAGCTTCCGTATGAGGAGAGATTAACAAGACCGGGACCTGGAAAATAAATGTCTAAAGGGTGGGGTCTAGAAAATCATGAACAGTGGAAAAATAGAATAAGGAAATGTTCTTCATTCCTTCGCTAACATAACACCAGAAGCTGAGCCAATTAAATTTATAGGCAGCAAATTTAAAACAAATTTTTTTTTCACAATCAGCCTGTGGAACTCCTTGCCAGGGGATGGGCGAAAGGCCCAAACTAACAGGATTCCTCTAAGAACAAAATAAGTTCCAGGAGGATCTGTCCGCCAACGGCTGCCAGCCAGGATGGGCAGGGGCAGTGTCCTGGCTTCTGTTTGCCGGAAGCTGGGAATGGACCATGATAATTGCCTCTTCTCTTCATGCCTTCTGAGCACCTGGCATTGGCCACTGCCGGCAGACAGGCCACTGGGCTAGAAGGACTATTGGTCTGACCCAGTCTGGCCGTTCTGATGTTCTTATCTAGGGCTGAAATGTATCTGCCCCCTGCTGTTACCCCTTCCAGAGCCGAGAGCGAGCCCCGGAGTCCCGACGGGGTCTGCCTCGCTCCCCAGAGTGAGTGACAGTGAGACTAGGCAGTAGAAGGGGAAGGCTAACCAGTGGGATGTGGGGTGAGCTCCAGGGCCCCTGCCAGCTCACCGCTAAGTGGTCTGCCAGCAAAGTCGAGTTTTCCCGGGCTTTGGACCCTGCTGTTACCCCTTCCAGAGCCGAGAGCGAGCCCCGGAGTCCCGACGGGGTCTGCCTCGCTCCCCAGAGTGAGTGACAGTGAGACTAGGCAGTAGAAGGGGAAGGCTAACCAGTGGGATGTGGGGTGAGCTCCAGGGCCCCTGCCAGCTCACCGCTAAGTGGTCTGCCAGCAAAGTCGAGTTTTCCCGGGCTTTGGATAGAGATGATATACTGAGCATGCTCAGTAACATAGAAGCCTCTGTCCTCAGT